CAATTCCCCCTCTCCCCACCGCCACCACCACAACCAGCCGCCATTTACCTCGGGATTTGTGCCGCTGAATGCCATAAATGTAAATCAATCTAGATGAGAAAGAATCCCTTTGAAAAGAGCAGAGAAATTTCATCTGGGAAAAAGGAGACAAATGTAGCACCCCCCCCCACCCCCAATGAAAAGCAGCTGTTTCACAGTAATCTGTTTTCGTGCCCTGTCACTCACCTTGCCTTTTCTCTCTCTCTGCTCCTCCAAAAGAAGAAGGACAAAAAAACACATCACTGAATTTACCATATCTTCTTTTACTGCAGTTCATATTCCTGCAGAGAGACAGAGAGAAAGAGCACAACTTGCTGTTTTTTTTTTTCTTTTTCTTTTTTTTCGGACAGTCCCCCTTGTAGTTGTTGGAGTGAAAAGAGGAGTGCATGGATGTCAAATTGCCCTCAAAACACCATGAAAGATTGATTTGCAGCACTTTTCAGGGCCCTGACATTACTCGGAGGGGAGCTGAATGGGAAACCTGTGAGCCGGGGATGGAATAAAGATGTCCTCTCTGCTGGAAAAAGAAGGAAAACTGCCCATTTAGCCCCCACAGTCCATCAAACCTTGGAAAAATAGGAAGAAAAAAACACAGAGGGCTATGGAGAAGAAAGGGGGGGGGGCATATATACTTCTCTAAACGTCTCCACAATACCAAGAGGGGCTCAGAACATCCATGAATATTAAACCGCTTATACCTTAACAAGGGCTTGAAAAAGTAGCTTTTTTTCTCTCTTCTCCTACTTGTGAACAATGCTGGGAAAGAAAAAAAAGCTTGTTTTCATTCTTTATTATTCCCGCGCTTTAAATAATAATAATAATAATAATAATAATAATAAAACAAAATACCTGAGAAAGAAAATGAGCAAGAAAATTCCAGATTCAATAGAAACGCGACCAGCACTCACATATCTTTGTTACAGATGTTTACATTCCTCCTCATGAGCCAAAACGAGTCATTTTGAGATAGTTTTATCTTTTAGCAAAATAAATGTTCGTTGAATTTGCAAATAATGGCTAAAATAAAGTTTCCGCACACCCTGCGTGTGTGTGTGTGCAGCTGGCAGGTCCACACGGTGAGGGGTGTGTCATTAATAAGTAATTAGACAGGGGAGGGGGAGGGGGGTCACAGCCACTTATAAAGAAGGAGACCCTCGCAGCCGGGCAGGGTTTAGTTTCTCCTGCGCGCACCGCTTTGGAGCAATCTCTGCGCGCGTCCATCTCCTCCCCTGAAACTGATTTTTCCTTTTTTTTATTTTTTCCTCCTCTCTCTCTCTCACTCTCTCACATGCAACATGGGTTCGGTGCTGCCCGCAGACGCCCTGGCTCTCAAGTCTGGATTTAAGTGCCCCGGCCGCTCCCTGTCGGACGTGATCACCTCGGACATCCTGCACAGCTTCCTGTACGGCAGGTGGAGGAACGTGCTGGGAGAACACCTGGCGGAGGAGCGCCAGAGCGGCTGCAGCCCCAGAACCGCCTTCACGGCTGAGGTGCTGGCCCAGTCCTTCACCGGAGGTATGTAGGTTCGGAGCTGCTGCTCCATTCCGCTACGCTTTGGGCTTTAGATTTAAAGGCGCACTTGGTGAGCGGAGCGTGCGTAAAAGCGCATTTGGTTCCACTGACAGCGCGCTTCGTTTTGGCGGAATTTAGAAGCTCTTTTAAGACAGAACACACGTTAATTTGTATAAATGAACCCAATTCTGTTGCTACAAAATCATCCCTTAAATATAAACATTTTACTGAGATTTTGTCCTCATTTTGACATTTTATTTCTCCTTTTTTCAACATGTCCAAAACATTTTTCTCACTTCAGTGTCTTTCGTTGCTGCTTTCATTTCGACCCATTTAACGCATTAACCCTTCCCACAGGGCTCTGAGACCCCCGCGTTTTGAAAGCTTGTTAGGCGCATGAGCATTAAATTCATTTGGTT